AAAGAAAGAAAGAAAAAAAGAAAAGAACAATAATTTGAGGTAAAGCATCTTGGATATGAGTTTAGAGAGAATTAACTTTGAAGAAAATTTTTTTATTTTGCATCGTTTATCCAAATGACTTCGTTTTTTCGTCAAATTAACTTATCAACAAGAATTATGGATAATCACTGTTAATTCTGTGAAAATTTGAGTGCAATCGAATCGAAATTTGCGACGCAGTTGGATCGTAATAAATACGCGCAAAGCGCTATTTATTACGATCGAAACACCTTAACACAGCAGACTAATGAATCAAACAAAAAAGAATGTGAGCAAAGAAAGATTGGGGCTTTAAAAATCAAAGCGGTCGCTACGTGTGTGACTACATTAATCTGATTGGCTTGTTTTAAACATGCGCATGCAAGTCCTGTGTATTCTCTGTGCAGTATGCTATTGTACTGTACAGTACGTTAGTACGTTCGTACGCAGTAAGCCAGTGCTGTGTATCCTCCATGCAGTATGCTATTGTACTGTACAGTACGTTAGTACGTTCGTACGCAGTAAGCCAGTGCTGTGTATTCTCCATGCAGTATGAATTGGCTCAAATATCCACTATATATAGTTTTTTCGTGGCAGTTTCGTGAGAGAAACGCCGGTTTCTGTAGAAAATTGAACAATAAATGCGATAGCATCTAAAAGAGAAAGGAGTAACCACAAAAATGTTTAAAGGCCGAAGTTTTGAGTTTAAATGTTTTCGTGTTACACTTAGTCGAGCTAGGCTGATGAGGTACAAGCCCAAAATGTGCTGACATTTTTTCGGCTTCGTTTGATTTATTTCGTGCCATTGAAGACGTAATGTCAAGTAGAGAAAACAAGTTATGTAAGGTCATCATTAATTTATCGACTGATGGCTATCTGAAGTCCTGATTTCGACCTGTAAGGGTTTTGAGAGACTTACGCTGTGATCCTTTCTGGACAGCTTCTCCAGTTATGTTTGTTTCTATGGAAATTAACATATCACTATTTTGTTAAAGATAACACTTTTCAATTTGCAACATGCATTTCTGCAAATATTTACAGATCTGCTATTGAGCGGTCATCCTCAGATCAAGTTCACAGTATTTGTCAATAAACGGCCTTTCAATATACTGCAAGTAATTAAGAGTCATTGTTCTATCAAGTGGATTAAAGATGATTAAATTGTATACAATATATTTCTGCTAATTTGAAAGTGCGATTTGTATCTAATTGAGATGTGATATGTAATATTAACAAAAACTTTGATTAAGTTAAACTTGCATCATAACCGAAAACATCGTTGACGAGGTAAGTACGCTACTTCAGGTATAATAATRATAATGGAAACTTTAATTGTTTATAGATGCGTACAGTATTCAATTCAATTGGTAAAGGTTACATACACAGAGGTACATGGGAATAGACGGATAAATACTGTAATTAATTAAATACATAAGTTATAGAAAAGAGAGCCTGTTAGAAAAATACTGTTTCAAATGCTCAGTGTTCACTCTGGGCCTTTGTGCTTATTACGAAGAGCCCAGGAACTAGTTTTAGCTTTCGGTATAATATGGGCTAAAGGGTGTATATATTTTTCTTAAATTTACATCGGGGGTGGAAGAGGAATATTTTATATTCTGTATTCCGCTGTAACTAGGCGTGAATATTTCTATTCCTTGATACAATTTCGGAGGATATTCCTTATGATTTCAGTTTTGAAGTGCTAGGTAGCAGTTAAGTTTTATTTTCTTTTAATTCATAAATTTATTAAGCTGGCTGAGTATTTCCAATTCTCACTTTTGTGTGTGTTTTATTGAAATATTCCGTATTCCTTACATTTTTCAGGGAATATTCAATATTCATAAGATTTTGAAGGACGATATTCAATATTCTCGTTCCACCCCCCAAAAATTTACAAATCTKATTAACTTACTCCTTCCCGTCCGACTATGCAAATTTAGGACTTATTCGACCTATGCTTTTAAAAATCATAACTTCTCAAAATCATGCGACACGAATCTAAAACTTTTATCCAACAAGACACATAGTAAATACAATGAAACCTAGAGCACAAAAAATTACACATCAACGAGAAAATCAGGGAAAAATCGGCCCT